TCTGTTTGACAGGACAAATTCCCTAGTATTTTGTAGCTGCGGCCTTTAACGGGGCTGTTAAAGCTGTCTGTGTCAGAGCTGTGCTTACAGAGAAGACATCTTCTGTCAGAGCAAGTTTTAAAGCCCCCGTTAGGTGATGGATTGTCCAATCTGGTTCTTACTACCAATGTCCTTTAGGTTCCTCGGGCGTCTGTATGCAGCCAATGGGGGTTCCTTAAAGACCTCTGCCATTCGTTTATTTGAGTGGAGAATTGGCAGGTTCTTTTGAAGGATACCGCTGAGGTTCCTAAGGACGGGATGGTATGTGGTTACCAGAGGGACCCTGTCGCTATTGTCTTTTCCTTGTAGCGTAATAGGTTTTGCCTGTCATGTCCCGCCATCTCATCAATAGCAGTTTGTACGGTGCGGGCACTGTAGCCTCTCTTGCATAAGTGGGACTTGAGGAGACCGCTTTGTTCCTGATATAAGGCAGGGGATGAACAGATGCGCCGAATTCTGGTGGCTAGACCCTTAGGCACACCCTTAAATGTGTGTGGGGGATGACAGCTAATTGGCAGAAGATACAGATGGGAATCTGTTGGATTCGTGTGGAGACTGAACTCGATTTCACCATCAGTCAGGGTAGATGTAGTATCTAGGAATATGTTTTTCGAATTTGATACGTCTACTGTAAAATTGATAGACTGATGAAAGGTGTTAGCAAACGAAATGAATGCCTCGAGGCTCTCGCGACATTCCACCCACTTCATCTCTATATCGTCAATGAAACGCAACCAGCTAAGGGGCCTAAATGGTGCTTGAAGTAGCAAGTTGCGTTCAGGTCTGCCCATGAAAATATTGGCATAAGATGGTGCAATTTTCGTACCCATAGCAGTGCCATTAACCTGCAGGTAATGTTCTCCATTAAACATGAAGTTGTTATACTTGAGAACATGTTCAAGGAGCTTGGCAAGGGACTCGGTAGAAGGAATTTGTATGGATCTACTATCCCAGACTTCTCTACAGGCTTCGATACCCTCATCGTGCGGAATATTGGTGTACAAAGATGTGACGTCCATAGTCACGAGAAGGGTATGATCTGGAAGGCCAGTAGAGGGCGTCTTGTTAATGTAGTCCGTGGTGTCCTTGAGATAGGATGGCAAATTCTCTACGTGTGGACGGAGATGTAAATCAATGTATTCAGAAATTTTCTCCGTGGGGTATCCAATTGCGCTAACTATAGGGCGACCTGGCATACCTTCTTTGTGTATCTTAGGAAGCAGATAAAATTGTCCTGGTCTACAGTCAATAGGATTGAGTGTCTCATAGACGTTGATACCAATCTCGTTTTTCTCAAACATTTCCGCAAGAGTTTTGGTGATGGCGGTGGAGAATTCTTTAGTAGGGTCAGAGTCCAGTTTCTTATAGAAATGTTCGTCTGAGAGTTGTTTATGGGCCTCCGCCATGTACGTCTCTTTATCAAGTACTACTACTGTAGAGCCTTTGTCTGCTTTCTTGATTATTATGTCATCCCGATTCTTAAATGATTGTAAGGCGGATCTCTCTTCCTTACTCAAATTGTCGGGAACCTTGTCTGATATGAAAGGAGTTTCTCTATGTCTGACTCAACGGCGTCAATACTACGACTCAAGGGCTCCGTATTTGCCAGGTGCAGGTTCCCAGTCACTTTTGGGCCGATAGAGTTTGTGTTCCTCTAGGTCGTGAAATTGTGGCTGAGAAGAGTCATATGAGTCAACTTCGGAGTTGATTTGTTTTGTTTCTTCTAGAAAAGTGATCCTTCAACCGAAGTCTCCGAAAGAATGCTCGGTGTCCTCTCTGACTTGTTTTTCGTCGACCTCATGTGGCGTGGGACAGAAATTCAGCCCCTTGGAAAGAAGTGAGGTCTCCGATTCGGAGAGAGGAACACTAGATTTATTGAGCACTGGGCAGACGTCAGGAGTTTGTGAGGGTCCGTCCTTCGCGATTGTCGTTAAGCGCTTGAAGCGTCTCGAGCGGGGTTTACGTGTTTTGTTAACTCGGACCTCTGACCGGTTATTCCTGGTCTGTGGAACACTGTCTCGGAGAAATTTCTTTCTTTGAGTCTTGTTGAGTTCATTTGTTAGGGCCATATTATAGGCGTCAATAATATTATGGGCTTCATCAAGATCAGCTTGGGACATGCTATCAATGAGGGATGATTCTAAAGACGTGATCACTCTCAAATTGTCCTAACTTGTGGATATCCCAAGAAAGACAGAGTGACATCAACTGTTTAGAACACCTCTTTGTAATATCTTCCCAACGTTCTTGAAAGCGTTTGGAGATTGACCCTCTGTTAGGCGTGACATTAATCTGGAAACCTTTAGGTATAATGTCACACTCTAAGTAGGTCTGTAAATTTGAGAACCGGTGTTCAGTTTTGATATGCCCCTCTCCTGCAATATTTTTATTGACGAAAATAAGGTTTTTTCTAATGCATTTAAACAATTTTTGGCCCTGTTATCACATGCACCACCGAAACACTTTATTATCATTCTATCTAAGCAGAAACAGGGTTCTTAGTTTATGGGATATACTTTTTACAAAATATCAGAAAATGTACGTATTCACAGTTTGTTGAGATAATTATCAACAATTTTAATTTAAATTAAAAGAAAACAGTTTCCTTCCTCCCATTTGGGTCTGAAACCTCCCAGAAGGCAATTCCAAACAAACTATTTTTTAAGGATGGCCTTAAGGATAATTTATTTTTTTAACTTTATAAACATGCAGCTTTTTAAAGATAAAGTTTCATCTAATTACTGAATTTAAAATGATCACATTGAAGGAAGTCGTCATGTAATCCATTTGAAATCTGTTTTCTAAGACAACTGACCGAGACTGTCCTTTTGGGTACTACTGCATGAGAAGACGGTGTGTACGTTTCCTTGGAGCAGCAGGATCCGCCGATCAATCGCCAGCTACCCAGACAACCGGAACCGGAAATTGAATGTAAAATAACACTGTTTTATGTATTGAATAAAAAAAATTGGAGTGGTGAATGACTTATTCTTTTTTCTGGGATGTCAATAGTATTGTGGCGAGGTTTAATTCCTTGTCAGGATCCATCAAGTGATAAATTTGAGTAAAGTTTGGAGTAAAAGTTGATAATTCTTACCTCTCCACTTAATTAAAGCACATCTAGTACAGCCATTATTTAAAATAAAGACCATACTGCACCATATAGATGTAAGCAAATCTATTTGTAAACTGCGAAGTTCAATCATATTCCATCTTAGATGTCTTTTCGAATGACGAAGAAATATGACAATTTTTCTGTACGATTTATATCTAACTTTAATGATTTTTAGATTTCTTGAAAAAATTTAATTCAATTCATATGAACTAAGAGTTTATTTCTTCTTCTCCGCTTTTCCACGATCTGCTTTCTAATGATTTTAATGATCACCCCATTTTCTGATATTTCCTATTTTCTTTTTTTATTCCTTTCATTCCACATTTTCATAAATTTCCAGTTTTCACAAGCTATGTTTTTTTTAAATATGAATCTTTAAAAGCTTTTCAACTTTCACCCAGAAATCAGGGAACCAGTTCAGTGCGGAATTGATTTGTTTTCCCAATTAGACGAGTTGCAGAGGTCAAATATTTGATAAATACCATTGTAATCATGTTCAAAAGATACCTAATTATAATTATATATATATATATATAATTATATATCTATAATTATATGATAATGAAAGTGACCTTTTTTTATTTGGACTTGCAATTACTTTTGTGGACATAAGAATTCTAGCTGTTGTCGAAATGTATCTTTATTAACTTGAATGTCGATTTCCTGGGTATGTTTTGAATAAACTTAAATCTATGGATTTTGCAAAGGTTTCAAATTCTGTGATGAAGATTTTTTTACTGACCCCATCCTAATTTTGACTTTAATTGATTTTAAACTCTTGAAAACAAATACATCTTTGAAAAAAGTGAATTTCCTTTACCAGAGGTTTATGATCTGTGTTAAGTTTCTTTAAGTTTCAGCAAATTCTGAAGAAGTTGAAAATTAAAAAAAAAAAAGTAATTACAACAGGCACTAGGTGACAGATGCCAGACAGACGGGGGAACAAATATTAATCAGAAAAGTTCACTTGAGCTTTGGCTCAAAATATACAAATATATAAAATAGACAAAATTAATTACATGAGTTTATGAAATAGGCGTTATTTTATATTTTTATTACTGATTCGTTCATTTGTAATGATTTTAAAGTGAGACTTCCAGAAGTCCCGCTATCAGTCAATATTTGTACGTCCATGTGGAAACCGTGTTTTTCTGCATTGTTTATAATTTACAAATGTTGAAACGTGACCACCTAACTGAGAATGGGTCGCTTTGTCATTGCACTGACAAGTTTAGAAAAGAAATGTTAGAACCAACAATATGATTTACGACAAACAAATTTATGACATAACTAGTGCTCTGAACCAGGAACTGATAAGTTCCTGATTGGAAAACAAGGTGTTCTACAAGATGTGATGAGTGGACTATAAAAGTCATTCCGGTTCTGCGAAAATTTCAGAACCTCCATACTTACCGGTCAGGTAGGTAGGCATTACATAGAGATATCGTCAAATTATAAAAAGATTAATGTATTAAGTTTCTTTGTTAATACTGTATTGTACTCATTAAAGGTTTATTTAGTAATGCATCTAAAACCATAATTACGCACTTCTGGATTTAACTTAATACAACGAATACTCTTACAAGAGGATGTTTTTAAATGATGGTAGGATTATTTTCTATCACAGCTGCTCCTCCTTCTACACGATGGCTTCTTTTCTGTGCCTCGGAATTGCTCTGGTTTTCATCTCCACTGCGCATGCGCAGTCTAGAGGATTTTGTAGATATGTGAGTAGTGAACTGTTATAATATACTGTGTTATGTTAAGAGCTAGAAATAAGATTTTCACATATGAATTTAACATCCGAATCTTTATATCTAAATATCTGACAAAGTACACTTTGTTTTAGGATACAGATTGCCCCCTTGGGTACCGATGTCGGAATAACTTTTGTCGAGGTAAAATGTTTACTTTGTTGAGATATAGGTGTTTTTTTTTTAATGTTGATTAACTAATTAATAATACTGTGTTTATACGGGGAGAAATTTACTCAGGAGTATAATTACTCTTCAGCAAATTTGCTCCAACATGTACATGTATGTGCAAAAGTAAATTTACTGCGCGTTCGCCTGTGATTTTATGTTCTGGGTTAAACATGTATAATCTACAATTTTATTAATTTTTTATCATGATTTCTGTAAAAATTGCTTCATACTGGAGAAAAAAAATCACTTTTTCTTATGTATAAAGCACTGGGATTACAGATCGATGCCCCTTTGAGCGTAAAATTAATAGGACACCTCAATCAAGAATCTATTATCTAGTTCGAGGTGATGTTCTTATAAAATTTAATGTTGAACTATGGTTGGAGAATTTTAAGAATTAAGAGGCAGTTCTTTTCGTCCGAAGAAGCTTTCTCCACCAAGAAACACCATAGATGAACCATTAGCACCCAATATTTGCTTTTGCATTTGTACCTGCCCCTGACTAGGTGAAAATATGCTTACAGGAGTATTTTTGCATATATATATATATATATATATATATATATATATATATATATATATATATATATATATATATATATATATATATATATATATATACATACATACATATGCAAATCATTTGCTTATGAGTAGAGCTCGCCCTATAAAAATGTAGTAAATTTGTGCATTCCTAATTGTAAGTCTTTAACAATTCTTTGGAATATTGCGAAAGGGGGTTAATGGGTAACGATTATTGAACTTTCAAATACATGAATGCATGCATTGTTCTAAACCTATATCAATTGTTAATTTGTTAAAACACCTGTCATTAACGTGAAAAAGCTGAAGGTGAAAAACTAAAAAATGTTAGTGATCGATATTAAAAATAACATTTATTATTCAATATTGAATTACTTTTTATGAGTAACTGCAAGAAAACTTTACAAAATTTACACTTGTAAAAACATTACATTTACTTTATACTTACTTTACAAAGTATTACACTAGCAAAACATTATATTTACATGTATATAAATAAAATGCACTACGATTAAAAAACACTACATTCACAATATATTACATTTTGCTCCCAGTTTGCATTGCTTCAATGGATTTCTGAGCTTGATTACTGTTCGTTATCTTCATATTTCATTTAATACCAAACATTACATACACAATATCTGTATGCTTGTACTTCTACTTTACCTCTTTTTGAGTACTACATAATTTTATATTTCATATATAAAATACATTTTAAATATATTCATCTTGTAGATACCGGTGGCTCTGGAAGGTGTCGTGTGAGTTATTATGATTGCTTTCAGATCTAACAAATGTTTCAAAGAGGATATTTTTAAATTGAATTTAAAAAATTAATCTGTAATTCCATTTTTTCCAAGTTTGACTCTGATTGTCCATTTGGTGAAGTATGTATTAATAGACGATGTCAAAGACAAGAACAAGGTATGTCAATGTTATCCAATAGATTTATAATGAAAAATCAAGAGAGATACGAATAAGTATAAATAGAAAAAGATACTTAAAATTGGTGCCCAAAAACGACAAAGTGAAAAGCAATTTACTTCAAGTGTTTTCAGAGCGCTTAACTCCCATTCTAATCTTTCGTTATTCTTTTTTTTTCAGATTGCAGATTTGTAAGTTATGTTCTACTTCCATTTTTTATTTTTCATTTTTTTCAAAAAAGGGCATTAAAAAAATATTCATCACTCATGTTTATTAATTCCCAGCATTCAGAAGTTAAACACAATTGTGGTATTATTTAAAACTCTTGATTTGTTATTCATCGAGTTCGATTTAATTTCTTTATTTATTTTCCAACAATAGGTTTTTGAATAGATGTAATATCAATTATATGAAGTGAAAAATAGAAATAAAATTTTATCTTTGAAACTAATTACCTTCTGAAAAACGAAGTATTTAAATATTTTATATCCCATTATTAGCAGATAAAAATTAAGTGAACCAATTCATTCTAATTTAATTTATATGCAGCTCATTAATATGTATGAGCATATGAAGTTTGATAAAAATATCTTGAATGGTTTATTTGATACTGGGCTAAACATTAATCTGAGAAAAGTTAGATCAAGGTCAAAGGAAAGGTCAAGGTCAAAAATGTTGATGCAGTTGAATAGCTCTCATCAATATGTATCAACATATAAAGTTTGATAAAAACATCTTGAATGGTTTCTTTGAAATTGAGATAAACGCAAAGTGTAGCGGAAGGACAGATGGAATGACGGAAGATGGACATGGCAAACACTATATGCCCCGGCCATATTATATATGGCGGGGCATAAAAATCGTAAATGTAGACGTTCAATAATATCAATATTTTTAAATCCCCATATTTCACAACCACTTTGTCAAGGAGATCTAACTGACAATGAAAAGGTAAATTATATAATTATGCCGTACATTGTCTTTCGTGCTTGATTACATAGGTATTTCTTAGCCTTGGAAAAAGATCTTATCTTGAGAATAAATTCCCTTATTAGTTTAATTCAAGGCATTGATATTTTTCATTATCTTGTTTTTGTGTTAGGCCTATGGGGGATGTTTTATTGGGTTAGCTTATGCCGTTTAACCTCATCCGCTAAGGTCGGAAATGGCGATGACCTCAGATACAGCAACGAATGATTCATATATGAAACCAAAAAATAGACAATAATTTTTTTAATTACGCTTACGATCTGCTGCTTTTTTTTCATATGAATTGTTATTTCAGTTAGGATGTCCACCTGGTTACAACTGTCAGTACGATTACATAACAAGGCGATATGAATGTGTGAGAGGTAGGTCTTAATTAATAACACCCCACTCCTTTCCCCTAAGTAAAAAAAAATTAAAAAAAAAATTAAAAAGTTTGTTTTTTTTTATTTCAAAAATAAGAATTATGCAATTTTTTTTTTGTTTACTTTGATATTTTATTAGTAGTAGAGACGGTATGGAATATACTCATGATGTGTGATTAGATGTAGTGTATGAATTGTATGCAATATATCTATGATAACAAGACAAACTCTTATGTCGTTCTCTGATGTAATTTTTGTTTCTTTCCTTTTTCACAGAAGATTGCAGACGAGTAAGTATTATTGTCAACAAATGACGTTTTCCTTGTGTTAAAGTTAGCAAATTATCAGCTGTAGCTGAAGCTCAATGTCAAAGATACTGTATACCACTTCAGATATTTCTTATTTTGTAGACTGGCTGTCCCCCTGGTTTAGTATGTCGTCGGTTTGGATTCACAGGAGCATACGAGTGTGTTCGAGGTAAGATGAATTGTTATATATATATAAAGAGAGAGAGAGATCCAAGAAAAATCACAGTGGTCGGTATTATATATGAAGAATATTTAAATATATAAAGACCCAGAGAATGAGTAAAACATATTAGCGCTTTCATTTCTTCTTCATGTTTTACAATATATTGTAAAAAAAAAAATCATGAAGAAGAAATGAAAGCTCTTTTACTCATTCTCCGTGTCTTTATCTATTTAAATATTCTTTATATATATATATATATATATATATATATATATATATATATATATATATATATATATATATATATATATATATATATATATATATATAGTGGCTGCAACGTTATTGTTGACAAACCAATCGTGTAGAATCGTTCGTGTAACGTGCGAGATCGTGCGTGTATCAGACTCAATCGTTTGCGGCTTTAATCGTGCGTGATCGTGCGTTAAGAAACGTGTAAATTTCGTTTTGTAAATTTTTATCAAAATGTTATTTGATATACAAGCATTTTGCTTGTCTGTTTTTCTTTTAATCCAAATAAAATAAATGAAGGGCGATTTACATAACTAAAAGCAGAACGAACTAGTTATTGCTTGGAAATGAGCAATATAGTAAGTCGTACAATATTATGTTCTCGTCAAATAGCGTGATTTTTTATGAAAAACCGTACTTAGATGTTTAAGGATTTTTTTTCTCGAATGTTGATTATGTTTACTGCTAATTATGGTCAAGCTATTTTAAAAATCAATAAATAAAAACAGATATTTTTACAAATAAATAAATAACCAATTCTCAATGCTTACATAAATATTTCGTCGGCGAATGTACATGTTCACGACATGATTGTCGGGGTTTCTTTTATCAGTGTTTATCTCTGGAGCTTACTTTTAATTATTTTTATAATTTCTGCAAATATATGATTTGTAAAATAATTGTTGATTTTAGAGATTCAGAAATGGAAACACGGATATAGCTTAATATATATAGTTTACTTCATTTTCATGCCCTTTTTTTTCAAACTTATCTCTTTCTGCATATTATGAAAACCGATTCTATCAAAACTCACGGTTCACCTACATGTACATCTTCTGATAGAGCGAAAAAAAAGTTTTCTTAAGTCGGAGAATTACGTAAATAATTATTTGTAATCTAAAATAAACTGATAAATGTCTTACATGTACATATGTATTTAGTTCCAGAAATATCCATTTCTATTTTTTTTTCATTTTTCAAAGTCGATGAAATAATATCAATAATTATTTGAAATCTAAAAGAAGAATTAAGCATTATTTCGTTTTGAAAATATCCATTCCTAAAGAATTTGAACCATTTTGCGCGAAGAATCGTGCGTTTGCGTTAGCAATCGTGTAAGATCGTGTAACGTGTAGAATCGTGTGCGTGAAGGATCGTTCGTGTAACAGGTTTTATCGTGCGTTAATCGTGCGGAATCGTTCGTGTAACGTGATCGTTCGTGTAAGCTGTCAACAATAACGTTGCAGCCACTGTATATATATATATATATATATATATATATATATATATATATATATATATATATATATATATATATATATATATATAAGAGACAGGGGAATTAAAAAGTTTACTTTGTGTATAATGGGACAAAATGGTAATTTGATTTATAGTGGAGAGCGCTTTTTACAGAATTATTACTATGATACCATTTGTTCCTGTTTTAAAGCTTATTCAACAAAAATAAACAATTGATGAAAGTGGATTTAGATTATTTATTTGATGCTCTGTATTGCAGATAATACAATATGCGTAAGTTGAAATTATTCTTACTTTTCTACATTATATTTGTTTAAATTTTGGAGATAATTTATATTTTCAATCAACCTTACATTCTTTCTTTTTGTTTAAAAAATACACTTGAGGTAAGAATTGTGGATCAATAGGACGATGAGAACCCGAAGGGTTTTTTTAGTTAATGTGTTTTTTAATAACTTAATTAAAATGATTAGATTAAAGAATGTAAATGTAATTTATATGTGGTCTGTATTCACAGCGAAGCGACAGAGACTGTCCATTTGGGTACTACTGCAATTTTAGAAGGCAATGTGTACGTGATATCTTCCCAGGAGCAGCAGGATCCGCCCCTCAATCTTCAGCTACTCAGGCAACCTGAAACCGGATTGTGTATATGATCTGAATTAAAAATTGGAGTGGTGAATGGCTCATTATTTTTTTCTATGATGTTTGCAGCATAATGTCAAGGTTTGGTGTCTTGTCAGGATATTCAGTAAACATAAAATCTTCTATCAAAAGTTGTAGTTGTAAGAGCACATGGTTTCTATGATGGCTTCTTGCTTATAAGTTACGAGTTAAGATTAAAGCTAACCTGATGAATAAAATTTAGTTCTCCCAATTATAAGATTACAATTAGAATTGATATTAAAAATATCCTTGAGTATCTTATTGACAATATCTTTGTAGTTTTCGGAGACCAGGTCTTCAAACAATCTGTAGGAATTTCTGTGGGTGCTTTTTTCGCCCCGTTATTAACATACTATTTTGTATTCATATGAAGAAGAATTTTTTTTTTTGGAAAACTTATACAATGAAAAGAAGTCTCTTGCTGTGGCATTCAATTTGACATTTAGATATATTGACGACTTTTAATCAATGAAGAATATCAATTTTCATTCCAAGTTGATTCGATATATCACACTTAACTCGCAATAGAAAGACGCCACTGTTACATCTGTCTCTTATTTGGACGTTTTACTCACAGGTACTTGTGGACAGGAACAACCCCCCCCCCTCCAATATGCCCCACAGGTCAAAAAATATTTTTATGTATTTTTTTCATAAATTATTCTTCTAGTGCACATTTACAATGTATTCCATAAGAAAAATCCAAAAAATAATGCAGAATTAACGTTTTACTAAAAAATCATACCCGCGGTATTATAAAATAGAGAAGGTAAGTCACTTCCATTTGTTTACACTGGACCCCTCTTGGATATCAGGCCCGAAATATCATTTACCTAATACATGTCACCGAAATGTGTCATGATCTCTTGTTTCGGTAGATATTTTTGTCTTTAATCGTGCTATTTAATTGCCCAGGCATCCCATAATAATCCGAGTATTCATCGTCAAACGTGAAAAATGCTACAAGATTTGGAAATGTCAGAGTAGAAATTACGGAAGTGATGCAAAAACGACACCTAGCGTGTAACTCTCGAGTTCCGAGTGTTATAGAACTAAGGGAAAAGTCAGAGGTCTACGAAAAAGTTCGGGAAAATTTTGATAGATTCATTAGAATTAAATTCTGCTTAAGATTTTCGAGATGAGCGAGGGTAGTCGTCAATATTCCCTTTAAAGGATGTTATCATTGATACCAAGTAGCGGTTTAAAAATCGCTTAAAATTTATAAACTTGACATGTAAACCCCCCCCCCCCCCCACTCCACCTCGACCGCCTTCCCCATCTGCGTGGACATGGAATTTTCATTAAATTGTGTCTGCGGAAAGGTGGATATCCGTTAAACTAATGTGGTAGTAAATATAATATTTAGAATGATAAACTAGTTTTAAAAATAAGTAAAGACAGAAATGTGATTATTTAAAACTGTACAAAAAAATCTCTTTTTTTCCCCATTTGTTATGAATTCGCTACATGTATTTAATCAATATTGATTAATTTGGGGACGGGGGCTGTGCAACGTCATTACAAGTTACAGTGTTGGAGAAAAACAAATTGACCGGTTGATGAATGGTTGTACAACCTTTGCAATATTTAAACGTCAATTGCTACGTAATACAAGTTGCAATTATCTAACTATGACTGTTAGAAAAGACGTACCTAAAGAACTTTTTTAAAAGTCTTTATTTTATAGAAGTTAAGCTTCCGTTTGTTCAATCAAAATAATAGCAGCTTGATATACATGTAATCAAGGCCAGAAATAAACTCAGCAGTGCGACGCGAAAGTAAAGAAGAGCATGAACATTATTTTTTTTAAAAAAATGGGGTTCTGATCTTCATTCTTAAGAATTTAATTTTGAAAAGACTCACATTTAAATTCCTTGGCAAATGATAATCATCGCATAAGAATATTAAAAAATACACATAATTATTAAGCTTAATATTATCGGAATTAATTGCAAGCATGTCCATGTAGAAGGGGAAGGGGGGTTACATGTCTTGTAAGTTGTAAATAAATGTTTAAGCGATTTTTAAACCGCTACTTGGTATCAATGATAACATCCTTTAAAGGGAATATTGACGACTACCCTCGCTCATCTCGAAAATCTTAAGCAGAATTTAATTCTAATGAATCTATCAAAATTTTCCCGAACTTTTTCGTAGACCTCTGACTTTTCCCTTAGTTCTATAACACTCGGAACTCGAGAGTTACACGCTAGGTGTCGTTTTTGCATCACTTCCGTAATTTCTACTCTGACATTTCCAAATCTTGTAGCATTTTTCACGTTTGACGATGAATACTCGGATTATTATGGGATGCCTGGGCAATTAAATAGCACGATTAAAGACAAAAATATCTACCGAAACAAGAGATCATGACACATTTCGGTGACATGTATTAGGTAAATGATATTTCGGGCCTGATATCCAAGAGGGGTCCAGTGTAAACAAATGGAAGTGACTTACCTTCTCTATTTTATAATACCGCGGGTATGATTTTTTAGTAAAACGTTAATTCTGCATTATTTTTTGGATTTTTCTTATGGAATACATTGTAAATGTGCACTAGAAGAATAATTTATGAAAAAAATACATAAAAATATTTTTTGACCTGTGGGGCATATTGGAGGGGGGGGGGGGGTTGTTCCTGTCCACAAGTACCTGTGATTTTACTGTAGAAAAACATTGATGGCAAACTGACAACTAAATTTTTTGATAAACTTGATGACTTCATCTTTCCTATCGTCAACTCCCCTTATATATGTAGCAATATACTATCATCACTTGCATATGGAGTTTATGTCTCCCAGTTGATTCAATACGCAAGTGCATGGTCTACGTACGATGAGTTTCTAAAACGAGGCAGACTGTTGACAAATAAGTTGATGATACAAGTACTTCAACAGCCTCGCTTAAAGTCAATATTTCGCAAATTCTGTGGTCGGTTCAATGACCTTGTCTGCAAATACAATCTGCCGTTAAGCCGAATGTAGACTGACGACTTTCATGCAACTGAATAGTCTACGGATTTTTCCATTTACCCGATTAGCACACGGCGGATGTCGACAGGAGATGCTTACTCTTCAGTGTTGCTCTATCCTCAGTGAAATTCATGAACTGCACTCTACAATCCTAGCTAAGTATTGAGTAAAATCGGCATTTATTGTTACGCAAAGGGCATTTCGAACTTCAAATCTTTGGGAGGGTTGGAAATTTTATCCATATGCATGTAAATGGATAGAGAGATTACGGAGATTGTTACTTGAATTGTACTAGCTTAACTTATCTCAAACTGCAATAGAATCGAAAGTGAGGCTTGAGGCTTTGCAATATCATATATCACTGAAGATGTAATTCTATCCTCAACAGAATTCATGAAATACATGCACTCCACAACCCTAGCTAAGTATTGAGTAAAATAGACATTATTCAAATGCTACACGGACTTGAATATTTCCATGACACGACCTCAAAAAATTAAACATATCATCCTAACACTCAGAAATAAATAGAGAGAAAAATACAAATCTTTTACATGTATTTCAATAATATTACAAAAGAAAGGTACATACATGTCAGTACAATAATTTTGCACCTGTGATGACATAGTTCATACTAACAATGCCATGCTGAACGTGTTATTGACAGAGATAAGGAGATATTGATAATATATAATTAATGTTCGAGAAATGCAGGGTGGAAGGGCATCAAAGTCTACGTGTTTATTGAAAAAATGGACATTTTGCTTGATATTGTCATCGGCCACTTGAACTATTTTATATGCCACCTGAATTGCATCTTTAATGGTGCGTGCCCCAGTGTATCAAGTCCTAGGTGTGAACACATCATGTTCTAACACTCGATATTGAGAAAATATATTTACCTTGGGTGATATGATGCGTCAGGCTGGGTCGGCAGTAGAATCGAAAGTGAGGCTGAGGATGGTACCTGATTCCGCCTCCGTCATCAGAGGTCCGAGTTGGCTCTGCTACTAATTTGCATTGTTTAAATGGACTTTTGAGAATGATAACTGTTTGTTATCTTCACATTTCATACTTTGAATATTTACTAAATATAAATAAACTTTTATTAAAAGGTTTTAAAAGGTACTAAATTATGTAAACACGAAAATCCTTTTCGTTTATTTGAACTTGTTACTTACCTTGTTGAAATAAGCATTCTTGCTCTTGCGACATGAAACATAATTATGTCGACATACAAGGTAGCTATGTTGACTAGAATCCCATTAATGTCGATAAATATTTCAACATACATTCTATTCATGTCTACATAGAAGAAAATAATGCATTTTATGTATGTTAACATGAAATATAATGCATGTTTGTTTACTGAATAATTGAATTTTAAAATTATACAGAATAAATTGATTGAATGTAGTTTTACATCCCATTCTAGAATTCTAGAATCATATTCTGCTTAAAATTGAGATTGACCACAGGTTTACCTGAACTTCATTTAATACATTTTAACATAACTAAAGGTTAATGTCATAGCAAGAGAAAATCTTTCTGTATTACTATTCAGTCTTCGCATTGTCAATTAACAATTGTTATTTCCATTTATATGTCGATACGATATATCCCGGTGAGCTTTAGATAAAAGATACTACAGAGTCTAAGACATCTGTTTCATATTTGGATATTTTACTTGAAAAAGACGTTAATGGTAATCTAACAACCAAGCTTTATGATAAACGTGATGACTTTAACTTTTCAATCGTCAACTTCCCTTACTTATGCAGCAATATACCTTTATCACCTGCATACGGGGTTTATATCTCTCTGTTGATTCGATACGCAAGAGCATATTCTACTGATGTACAATTTCTAAAACGAGGTAAATTATTGACAACAGGTTGATGAAACAAGAATATCAGGAGTCTCGTGTAATGTCATCATTTCGTAAGTTCTATGGTCGATACAATGACCTTGTCAGCAAATACAATTTATCATCGAGTCAAATGCTGACTGACGTTTTTCATACTAATTGTTAGGACATTATTTACACACTGAATTGTCGACAGATTTTTTCGTTATTTCCCGATCATGACAAGGAGCACAAGGTGGATGTGACCGGTCACTCCTCCATGGCACCTGATCCCACCTCTGATGTTTTGGAGGTCAGTGTTTGCTCTGCACCTATTTGTAATGTTTAATGGACTTTTGAGCTTGAATACTGTTCGTTATCTCCATATATTTCCTTTACGTTGTACCTACTTTCTACGTTTTCTCTTTGTAATGTGTATGTGTGTGTTTTTATCACCTTTCTTTGTGTGTTGTTCTGTACGTTACTTTCTAGTTTTCTTTTTGCATTTGTGTATCACCTTTTTTGTGTGTTGTTATGTTTGTTTGTTGTTGTTCTGTCTTCCTTTGCGTTGTTCTATCATCTGTGATGTTCTGTTTATTCCTTTACATTGCTTTGTTCTTGTTTGCATTGTTCCTTTTTGTGATCTGTTTTTTTTCCCTTTGTATCGTTCTGTTCCCTATTGTTTAGAAAGCGAGATCAAAACTGTGAAATGTGAAGTCAACGAATAGTAATCATTCTCAAAAGTCCATTTAAATAATACAGTTGTGAGCAAAGCCGACACGAACCTTTGAAAACAGAGGTAGAGTCAGATGCTATGGAGAGATAAGCATCCCCTTCCAACATGTCTCACCGGCTATATGCTCTTTTTCGTGATCGGGCAAACGGAAAAAAATCTGTAGTCAAGTTCTTTATAAGGAACATTTGCTATCCAAAAACCTCCAAAAGAACTTTGTTAATGACGAATAATATCAGTACTTTTGATTTCCAAGATAAAGCAATCGGATAGATCATAAAAACAGTTTAATCATTGGAATTAATTTTTATGGTCATTACAATGTCCTTTTTTAAAATCTCTGATGAACTGGAAAGAAAGCTGTTTGGTTCTGAATAAAAATTCGAAAAATTTGCTCGTTAAAAAGAATAGTAAAAAAAAAAATAGTATCATATGATTACATAAGTCATGCATGATTTCCGTTCTTTTACACTAAACTGTTTGTCGATAATACATGATCATATAGTGATAATTATCGACATACATGTTTATAATTTTGTCGAAAAGAATTATTTTACATAGAAATATTATTTGCATACACTCTTGACTTCTGTTGTTAAGATAATTAAACAAAAAGCAGATATTCTGGTAACAAACATATTCTGAATTAGGAAGAGATATTTACTCTTTCACAATCCGATATTTTTAAAAACAAAAAAACACTTTAGCAAGAAAAAAAATTGAAAAGCACTGAATTCTATGTTCTGTTAAGTTGTAATCTGTAAAACTCCAAAGGACTAATATATCTCTTTTTAATTTTCCGATTATTTAGTTTGACAACAGCTAGGTAAAGGTTATATATATATATATATATATATATATATATATATATATATATATATATATATATATATATATATATATATATATATATATATATATATATATATATATATATAAATTACAATTAATAAGAGCATCCTTATTTTAAGGGAAAAAACGTTACATTTATGTAAATGTCTCTGTGATTATTATACAAGATTTCGTAAATATACATGCTATATTATACACTTATCCACTGGCTGTGATTAGGATAGCTCTTTTATCAAACCCACGACAGGAACTATTCCCCGAGGGCTTGCCCGAGGGGAATAGTTCCTGTCAAGGGTTTGATGAAAGAGCTATCCCACTCACAGCCAGTGGATATGCGTTTTATTATACATGTATTGATGTACATCATAATTTTTGAGGGTTTGTATTACCTCATAGGCAAAACATAAAAAGAATAATTACTAAAGTTTTGAACAAGTATTTGGAATAAGATAACACTGCTAGAATGAGCTGAAATCCTGATGACGTCACAATGCTACTTAAGTCAGGATGAGATCATCAGTCTATATATTGATTATAGGAAATCAAAATTGGCGGCAAAAATTGCATGAAAATTTTCCCAGGGTAGATAGCACAAATTATTATACCTCTGTGAATTTTTTCTATATAAAAATATGACGAATAAACATGCTATTTTCTCCAAACAGCCCCTACCGTGGAATAGTTTTTGTGCTATTTGCCCATGGTGAAATAGTCATTGAACTATTCACCGGCAGCATTCTGTTTCCCTCGCTTTTTATCTCGGAACTCTTCTGGTTTTATCCACATTGTGACGTAACACAAGTAAAGACTGCTTCGGTATAATAAAACACCTATTTACTGACTATTCGGACAATAGCAAGTTTATCGTCCCCCTCGACAGCAACTATTTCCCTCGGCTGCGCCTCGGGAAATAGTTGCTGTCTTGGGGAACGATAAACTTGCTATTGTCCTCATAGCCAGTAAATAGGTGTATACTATACCCCGACGTATAGCTTTGCTATGCGTGGAAATATTCAGACTATAAAATATAGTTATTTTACCTTCTTAAATTTATATAGGAAACATTTTAACAGAAGTATAATAAATATGATTTATCTTCACAATACACTTTGCATATACACTTTGCATTATCTTTTTAGAATTTCTTTCAATATTCTGAAAAAGGGATAGTTCTAGTAATTTTTTTCCTTTGCAGAATCAATGTTTATTATAATAGATATAATCTACCCAAAGTACACTTGAAGAAAACCTCAAGAAAATAAGGTCTTATACTTTTGTATAATATTGACATACTTTTGTTCAATCATCCTTAAATCTTTGAATTACTGAGGGAAGGAATTTTTTTTTAAAATATATATAAACGATTACTGCTACAATGCTGTAAAACTATTTTCCCACACATGGTAAATTCAAAATTTACAACTGTTTTAACAGTTGAATGTATTATGTTGATTTAACTCAAAACATTATTTCATTATTTTCAAATAGATAGAAATAAAATAGTTCAACAATTTCTTCATATCTTTCACAAAAGGTATTCATTTTTCTCTTTAACCAGAAAACATATATATCTTTATTAATCAGACTGTGTAATACTACAACTCATGTTTGCAAGATGCTATTCATTCTAATTGTTGTACGTAACCATTTTTTAACATTGTAAGACCACAGAGAGCTGAGGATAAAGCAAAAAGTCCAAGATCAATAATTAAATTTCTTTACCTTACAATCAAGGAAAAATAAACTTAGAATTACAACCCATTTCTCTGACGTGTGATAGTCTGTCTGTTTCTTTGTAATGGCAGTCTGTATGATTCTGTCTTAGGAGGACAGTTCCCTGCCCGAATACTGGCCAGATTTTGTTTCTGACAAACATAATGCTTAAAATATCCATATATCATTAGATTCCAGATCCCTCGAGTGAAAAACAGGCTGGTGAGCAGATTAGACAGGAGGAATAATTCCGGGGATTGAAAATCTGGAGAGTTTTCAACGAAAGTAATCACTTGATAAGGAGTGTGTGTAATTAGTACATTGAGTGATAGTGCCAGTAAGAGCTTAACAACGAAGAAATATGTCAGAATTCTCTCTCGTAAAATTGTAAAGTACTTGATGACTAGTACCAGAAATAGCGAAATCACAACTGTTAATGGTATCAAAAACAATATAAACAGGTCCATCAATAGAAAGTACTTGTGAAGAAAGACGAACCGTTTATTTAAAATACATTGTTTGTAAGCTCTCTCAAATCCAAGTTCAACGTTGGTGTGGGTTAACGGAGTGGACGTGAAGAGGACCACACTCCAAATGTTGAAAGATGACGAGAAGAACCACAGAAGACTAGTACAGAACATGCATCGAGCAACGGTCACGAATTCACGTGTCGGACACAAAATTCGCATAGTCTTCTCTGCAGTCATAAACATGATAGTATACGGAACCACAGTCTTAGACAGGAAGCTCATAAAACGGAAACACTTACATGAATAGGTCGTCTCCTTTTGGTATAGGAATAAAATGTGTGTGGGAATGGCTACTGTACCATTCAGAAAGTCCGCTACGGCGATAGAAAAGATGAAGACATTGGTTGACCTTCCTAGAAGACGCTTCTTCCGGATCAGAGCAATGATAAAGAAGTTCCCAAACACAAGGAACACGCAGGATAGGGCATCAATGAACACGATGACATTGAAAAAAGTGTCGTTTGGTGTCGAGGTACTTTCATTTTTCTTAAGTGACAAATTCGTGGACGAATTCATTGCTTTCAAAACTATATCTGCATGTCTGTTTGTTTCAAGATTATTTTCGAAAATTGATTGCAACAAATCATTGCTTTCCTTCGAAGGAAGATTAATAGTGGAATGTTCCGACTAAAATCCTAATGCACACTAAATGGATGTTTTGTTAACAAATGTTTGAACAACAGACGTATTCAGCTTCTCCAAATGAACTGAAAATAGAATAGTTCTAAGGGCATTCCCTTCACTTCCTCTTTTAGAAAAATAAAATCCTAAAAGCTTTCCTCGTGGTAATTTGAAGTTTTTTAATGTCCTGTTTTACGATCTTTTAAAAAATATATTCATTATCAGAAAAAAAAATCAATTGTTGGGCACAATATTATCTATTCATTTTTACATTTTACTTCTTATTATTTTATTAAGGGGATTGAAATTTTTCACCTACCTTGTGGTTATGTTCTATCCTTTTGCTGTAACATGTAGTGTGCGTCCGTGGCGCATTGATTGAAATCTGGGCTCTGGGCGGCTGAAAATCTACAATAAATAGAGCTCCATTAATAACAGAGTGCTAGGAATACGCTACAATACTGAAGATGGATTGTATAATTTTTTCTGAATAACAAATCTAATAGTTTTCATTGTTTTGAAGGCGAAGTTGCAAGAAAAAAATCTTAATGTGATTAACCACGTAATGATGTAGTAGGAACTCGACAAGATTCAAGGCCATAGAACTTTGTTTGACGTATCGTTTGTAAATCCTGGATGAAAATGATACTGTAAAAAAGCACTCCGAGGAATCATTCCTCAAGAAGAAGTCATTTGAAACCAATTTAGAACATTTTGTTTGGATTCACGAGGGTTTATAGTAACTAGCCGTTGGGCACTTCTACGTAAAGTGATGGGAGAATCATTCGTTCAACAGTATTTGCTTAAGTACAGAGCTAGGACTAATTTCATGCTTAGGTTTTCATGTCTTTCAAAGATTACAAACACTAAATCGATACGAGAGGGTACTGAGAAGTTATGGGGACACTTGCTATAGCGCGTTGTCCTATAACTCTGTAACGCGCTCTTCTTTACATTCTTTTTTTTCCACAAGTTTTAATTATTGTTATAATGGTGTGTATTTGAGATGTTTGGAGTTTTGATTATTGTTATAATCAATGGTGTGTATTTGAGGTATTTAGTGATGTATAATGCTATGATTTGTAGCTAAGAAATTCACTTTTTTGTTTTTGATCTCTTACTCATTAAATTCATTTATTGTAGGCCTTATAGGAGCTTAAACAATTGCAAAAATGTCCGAGATGTATTGACGCTTTGAAAATTCTTTAAGTTTTTTAATTAGGATTCTTTCACTGATGGTAAATTATTTGATGAAAATATATATGCAATTAAATATTTTCCCACGTTTCCTGTGAGTTTCAGAAACCACTAGATATTTCTTTAAACTTTCCGCACAGAAAAAAAGAAACAAGAATTCAACGAAACATGTCGTGAGTACATAGATTTGTTTCCATGACAATAACCTAAATTTCATGTTTTTCACAATTAAATTAAAAGGAATCTTGATGGACTGACATATTAATTGCACCCTAAGTGTTGTTACATTAATACAAGTTGTCATATTCAAGCCACATATCCAAAATGTGAAATTTTCTCATTTTATTGGTTTGTTATTCGTTTTATTTTCATCTTGGTATTTCACTCACAGGAAAAATTGTCAGGTTTATTCCAGAGATCGAATAATTTTCTAGAGAAAATTGTCCTGTTTACTAATATCAAATGGGCTGTGACACAGATTTGAAGCTTATATTGATTAAAATTTTTCTAAATAATATCATGACTTGTATGTTGCTAGAGCATTTCACACCAAAATATATCAAAAGCGTGTTTAGGAAATTCTTTTATTTGGAAATTTATAAAAACTATGATTTTCTAGACGCATTTGATTGATGCATATCCTTACACTTTCACAAAGTAAACTTTATCCATGATATTTAAGAAAAGTAGAAACTAAAATGTACCGTACACATTGTACCCAAATAAATAATATATTAACTCGGAATATCACGGAATCTTTCTTTTCTGTGACCTGGTTTTATTTATGTATTTGATTTGTTTCCATCAATAGTTTCTTATATTGTAGCATGTCTTACCGGAATTCATCCGATGATTAAGTTCACTGTACTTAATAAATTCACACAGAAAAGCAGGCATATTTACTCGGATGGTCAGGAATATTTTGATTTTGTAACCTGTATTAATTTTTGTATTTGTTTTGACTTAATTTGTGGTCTCTCAAATTGTAATAATTGGTCAGATAGCAAAGTTGTCGGGCGTTCGCTTCGTGATCGGGAGGCCCGGGTTTGATTCTCGTTCACCGCGCCGCGTCAAACTTGAGATGAAGACACAGGTAGTGACTGTTCCTTCGCCAAGCGCCCAACATTAGAATTAAGTGAAATTCGCGGGTCTTTCGGATGAGTCCTTTAAAATCGTGGTCCCGTGTTACGGTGGGCGTTGGCACGATGAAGAACCCTCACTGCTCAATGACCCTGAGTGCCGAGTATAGGTTTAAATCTGAAACTCTTCATCGGCTTACGGGGATATCTTTATGTAGGGAAAAATTTCTCGAATGGAACGTTAAAAGCATACAATCAATCAATCAATCAAATTGTAATATGACTTAACGGAATTCACCTGACGAGGGATTTAGATCTTTATTTATTTTTGAGAGTGTAAGAAAGAGAGAGGCGTATATTTTAGAATTAAATAAGATGAGAGATTGCTATCTTCTATACTATTCCTTTTTCATAAGGAGAGGTAGATAAAATTTGATCGATAGCTTCATGATTTTATTTTTTCAGTTGTGACCAGAAAATGACAATTACGAGTCTTTTTATCAGCAAACATAGAGAGTATGAACCATTTCTTATTATGCAATAGTTTGCGATTTAATTGGTAAAGATAACGAACAGTGATCGATCTCAAAAAATCCACGAATAATACAAATATGTGAAAAGGGCATAAAAAACGGACCCCTGGAAATTCCAGAGGTGGGATCAGGAGAAGTAAGCACCTCCTGTTGACAGGTCACACCCGGTATGTATTGATCAGGTAGACGGAACTATCTGTAGTCAATCCAGTATGATAGGCTATATTTGCTAATAAGGTCATTATAACGACCATAAGATTTAAGAAATGCTTTAAACGAGGCTGTTGAAATCTCTGTAACATCAACTAATCAGTGAGTAGCCTGCCTCTATTTAAAAATTGATCGTACTCAGAGCAAGCTCTTGAGTAGCGAATAAGCTGAGAGACAAAAACACCATAAACAGATGAATTTTGAATATTACTACATAAATAAGGAACGTTGACGATGGAAAAGCTAAAGTGGTCTCATTTGTCATACAATTAATAATTAATAATAGAATAAAAATTAAACATGTTTGAAAGAAATATCTTAGACTTTATAATAGATAATGGATAACTTTGTAATCTCATAAACTTAATCCTGGCTGAAACCTCTAAACGGAGCACATGACTCAGTGATCATAGGTGTTAGGCCAGTAACCCTTCGTGTCATTAGACAAGGCATTTTATCTGCAATTTCTCAGTCCAACCTGATGCAATGGGTAGCACATTTGCTGGGGTTTAACTCGCGATAGACTGGTGTCCCATCCAAGGAGAGTCAATGTCTCTTATCAGCTTAGTACCACAGAAATAAGGAAATTACTCCCATCTGCTTAGTACCACAGAAATCAGGAATAAGCACCGGTCCTATGAGCCTCATTGCTCTGAGAAGTATTTAACTTTAAAATCAATTTTTCAAGACTGCTTTTCTTTATTGTTTTTACTTTCTTTTTATTTGCAACATTCTGTAAAAATTGCGTTTAAAATAGCTATCAACCTTTTCAAAATTATTCGCACTTTTAAATGTGTATCCACAAACATGAAGCCATTACAAGTTATGCTATTTGAAAACGTCAGTAGATTTTTATTTTTAAATGCAGATAAAACTGTGGATATAATGCATATGTTAACTAACATACATACCTTAAAATTAATTCGTTTCTTATTCTATTTTTAGAACTTTTGAATAGAAACTATTTAAATCGAAAGCAAGAAAAAAAAGATGTTGCACAATCATAAAGAAAGACAAAATTTTGTTACAATTTTAAGAGGATAGTAAATTCCAGTGTAAAAAATAAAAATAAGAATTAAAAAAATTCTAGAAAAAGATAATCAATTCTGCAAGTAATGATAAAAATTAATATGGTTATTACCATTTTCAAGTTTCAATGACTTTAATTTTATTTTCCCCACCTTCCTGTAAATGAAGTTGTTTATTCCAAAGAAATGTGTCTTTATCCAAAGTCATTGTACGAGTCATTGAACCTCGTAAAAGTATTTGAGTTTTTCCTAAATAATTTTGCTTTTGGCAGATAGAAAGGGGACTGATAACAATTTTGCAGGACGATGAAATTTACAATTTGATATTTAGAGCTATTGAAAAAATGGAAATGGTCCTGGGGCACAAAATCAATTCAACAAAAACCATCCTTCACAGATTGAAAGAAAGACACTTATCGACAGAATAACACTCTCGTTAAATCTGAACTTACAGCAAGATTAACTTTTTAATTAGATACTTAAAGCAGGTATTTTTCTTCCACTAATTACCAAAAAATTTAAAGGCTGTATCTAGCATTTCTGTTTTGTGTGATATCATCTATCAAAAAAAGAAACCACTAAGATCTGAAGACGCTCTAATAAAACAGCTTGAAGTAGATTTAGCAATAATAGCTCTCGTAGAACACATAATTATACGTGAAAATTGGAATGAAGTGGGATATTAAGAGTCGATTTCATGAAGATAAGGAAACATATGAAATAATTATGTACCCTGAAATTAAGGCGATTTACAAACTAACTCCGTGGAACGCAAAGAAATTTGACATTTCCCTATCAAAAATGTTATTTGTGATTTCTTTTGAATTTTTTGTTTATTTTTGAAGACT